ATAGATAGATAGATAGATAGATAGATAGAATTTGAATGACCCCTTCAGATAATTGTCACACATCATGTGCTGACTTAGGCCAGAAGTTTTTAAATTGGATACTGTGGCACATGCTGAGTGCCAAAATAAGTTAGTATCTTTTCCCTTTATCAGATCTCAGACATACATATTTTACTCCGTTTTAGGAACAGGAGTTTAACAATTCTCCACTAAACTGATATGATAAATGAATCAAAGGTTCTTATGATCCAACAGCTGACTTCGACATAAACCAATGTACGTTCTAAACGTTGATGAATATACCAGATGGCCCATTGAGAACACAACGTAACATTGTCCATTCTTTGAGTTCATTAAAGATGCCAACTTTCTCCTTTCTTTGAGAACCTCTTTGGTGGACTTTACTTAGTGATCAGTGCATCTACTTGAAAGGATTTTCGTTGTATATCTTTGCAAGTTAATGCAATTATCACTAAGTCATACATACATGAATGCATAGATTCATACATAGCTACGTACATAGATACATATATACATGCATAGATACATACATACATACATACATACATACATACATATATACATGCATAGATACATACATACATACATACATATATACATGCATAGATACATACATACATACATACATACATACATACATACATACATACATACATACATACATACATACATACATACATACATACATACATACATACATACATACATACATACATACATACATACATACATACATACATATACATACACATACACACACATATATATATATATATGTATGTATGTATGTAAGTCTGTGTATGTATGTATGTATGTATGTATGTATGTATGTATGTATGTATGTATGTATGTATGTATGTATGTATGTATGTATGTATGTATGTATGTATGTATGTATGTATGTATGTATGTATGTATGTATGTATGTATGTATGTATGTATGTATGTATGTATGTATGTATGTATGTATGTATGTATGTATGTAAGTCTGTGTATGTATGTATGTATGTATGTATGTATGTATGTATGTATGTATGTATGTATGTATGTATGTATGTATGTATGTATGTATGTATGTATGTATGTATGTATGTATGTATGTATGTATGTATGTATGTATGTATGTATGTATGTATGAATGATCTCACAACCAAATGCCACGCAGCAAATCCAGTTTTGTACATCAAGTACATTTTGCTAATTATTTAAATACCAATATAAAAATGATACTTACTTAACTGCATATATGATGATGGAATCAGTAATTATGATACTTTAATTATGCTGCTTTCCGATCTTCTATAGACGAGATGAAGACTGTTTTGGTCCCTCTGGATCACTTAGTACATCTTTGCATTAATGTGGAGAGAGATATTGTGTCCAAATATCTTAATTATTTAGCTCACCATTCGTTATACAATTAAGAAGAGTAAAGAGCCCCAAAACTCAAATTTGTTAAAATATATATATTTTTTGCGAGTAAATCAGTTCGAAATTTCGAAACTAAATACAATGGTCAAAATTATAACCTGTTTTCAATTGGTGAGTGAAACACGAAGCAAACTTTACGGCAATCTAATATCACGTAGCGTTCAGACAAGGGTTAAAATTTTAATAAAAAAATATTTCAAATGTTAATGGATCAGATTATTATTTTTTTAAAAACATTTTCTACATATCTGATTGTTAATAAGTATTACTATGTTTTGCAAGCAGGAATGGAATCATTGAATACCTCCGTTGTGTTTGTGACGTGGTCGGTGATAATAGCGCTATGGATGTGTGCAATAACATGTAACACGTCCTAATTAAACAATAATAATGGCGTCTTGGATTAAAGATTACACGCTTTCATTTGCATTGTCGCTAAGAAAATAGAAAACACCTTCACGAAGGATAATATTACAAATGAAATACGATATCCAACATGCTATGTAATCTACGATTCACGTGATTCAGATACATGAATCAAAGCTGATTGCCAAAGGACTTATAAGCTTGGACAGCAGGAGGGTTGGGACAAACTGTAAATTATTTCACCTATATTGTTTGCATCGCTTTGGAAAGAAATATATAATGTCGGTTTGATCGTAATTATGAAACCTTGTCACAGCGGGACCTTCGAAATTCCATATTTCTAATTACGTAATGCATCATATTAACACTAGAGATATAAAATGAGGTCTTGACAAGTAGCAATAATTCGATGAAACGTTAGGGAACTCTCTCTCTCTCTCTCTCTCTCTCTCTCTCTCTCTCTCACACACACACACACACACACACACACACACACACACACACACACACATAACACATTCGCTCTGTCATACACACACGCACGCACTCACTTTCTCGCTTATATTAAAATTGCACCCTACTGAACGATGTAGTTTCTTCCCACACCCATTTTTTGAACAATACTAAGACTGAAATTAGCCTTTTAAATGAGGCTTTGTTGACATCCTAAATGCATATTTACTTCTGAATAAATTAAAATAGGTGGGTGAGATCTAGACTGGTACTCGATTTCTGGTGAAGCTGATGAAAAAAAAATTACTAAAATTATATACTGATCCGGTATGGAATAAAATTAGATTATTAGTAACTCTTGAATGCATGCATGGTTATATATCGAATAAACATCCATGACTATATATCAAATATGCATCCATGATTATATACTAGGTATTCATCCATGATTACGTATCGAATATAATTCCATGACTATATATCAAATATGTATCCGTGATGATATATCAAATATTCATCCATGATTATATATCGAATATGCATCCATGATAAATCGAATATTCATCCATGATTACGTATCAAATATGCATCCATTATTATTTATTAAATCATACATATATGATTTTATTTTGAAATATACTTTAATGATTATATACGCATTCATGATTATATGTCGAAATATGCATCCATGATTATATATCGATTATGCATCCTTGATTATACATCGAAAATACACACGTAATTATATATCGATTATGCATCAATGATTAGGCATCGAATATGCATCCATGATTACATGTGCATCCATGATTATTTATTGAACCATGCATCTATGATTATATTGTGAAATATATTTTAATGATCATGTATGCATCCATATATATATATATATATATATATATATATATATATATATATATATATATATATATATATATATATATATATATATATATAAAAGCGTCCATGATTACTCACATCGATGTTTATATACATCCATAATTATTTATTGAACAACGCATACAAGGAATGAGTTCTATATTCAAGTAATGACATATGGTTTGCGCATCGTAGACTTTTGACTGTCATGATTTAGTAATTAACAAGTGTTTTCTTAGTATGCTATAGAATAAGCGATAATTGTATTCGTAGTGTGTACTAGAAAAATTGATCAAGGTGTTCTTAGAGTTTGATATAACATTTTATCAGGGTATGTTTAGCGTATTCTGTGTCAATAATTCTACCCTGAAACGCACACCATTCCGATTGAAAAATTTGGTAGCATTTTTTTGATCGTCAGTTGTGGATGATAAATCATCTTTGCTTCTAAACTCGTATAGTACACAAACCGACCGCTTCCAAACGTTTTGCACGTGCATTTGCCTGTACCAGGAATTTGCTTATTCATTATGATGGCATTTGTCATGTGATAAGGTTTACATATTCAAGTGTATTGTGCTCTTCCTCCTATCTACTTTATCAGATGACAGTCGAGAGCCATCGTGACCATATTGTAGAAACAAAGGAAATACTGATATTAACACCTACATATGTCAAACGCATGGCAGGCAGGGGTTTTGCTGTTGAATTGTTTCAATATCGGAGTCATTATGCAAAATATGAGGCTAAAATTAAAACCTTAGTACTGTATTCTAGTTTTGTAGGACATCTGATATAGGCTATTGAAAGACTCGTTAGGATTTTGATTTAAAACAAGTATTATTCATACATACATACATACATACATACATACATACATACATACATACATACATACATACATACATACATACATACATACATACATACATACATACATACATACATACATACATACATACATACATACATACATACATACATACATACCTACCTACCTACCTACCTACCTACCTACCTACCTACCTACCTACCTACCTGCATAAATGCATACATACATACATACATACATACATACATACATACATACATACATACATACATACATACATACATACATACATACATACATACATACATACATACATACATACACACACACACACATACATACATACATACATATATATATATACATAAACACACGCACACACAAAGGAGAAAAAAGGAAACTAAAAAACCTACAAAATATCCTCCAAAGCAATGGGGGAAACAAAAACAAACAAAATAAATCAAAGCAAAGTGTATCTGTCTCTCAATCATGTAGATACACTACATACTGAGTCTGGATTGTTTGTAGTCGACCTGTGCAATATACCTAACTGTCATGTATGTAGTTTTTAGAAAGCCTGTACTATAATCAGAAGACTATTTACATGTCTCTATACTAAAGCCTAAACTGTTATCAAATTGATATTATGGGTCTGTAGAGTAAACCATTTCCACAAGACTATAAGGTAAACCTGTCCATGTCAAAAACCGCTAGAACGACGCGTGTAATTATGTTTAATTTCTTTGAGGAAAATGCATGTCAACAAATATTTGTTGATTATTGTACTACGAAGATATAAACTTATACATGGGTTGTTTGAACTATAACATCTAAATCATAACATTTTTATTTTTGCCACTTCAATTACTTTTGGAAACGTAAAGTCTGTTCTAGGTAAGGAAAAGTTTTTACAATGTATGATACCAATATTTATAACATGAGTCCCCTTGATGGTGAAGTTTCATTATAATTCAGCAGCAATACAATTCATACATAACTGTCAATCAATTTATTCACCGTTCTGGTAACTTATTGGTAAGAACGTCCGCCTCGAATGCGGGAGGTCGCGGGTTTGAACCCCGGCCAAGTCATAACAAAGTCTTAAAAAATGGTACTAACAGCTGCCTCGCTTTGCACTCAGGATTAAGAGGTTTGTTTTAGGACTGGTCGGCCTGGTATCAGGATAATGTGACTGGGTGGGACATCATGGCACATGTCTGCCACAGTACTAAACATACTATAAACTGTCACACTGAAGATATGTTAGCGATATTACTGAACATTTGTTAAAGCTACATTAAAAATCTTAATCACACACACACACAATACACTTATTCAAAACAAGAGTGTATGTCGGTGAGAATTTCTTTTCTTAATAGTACTTTAAAATGACTTCATTCAAGAAAACCATGCGAATCTCGCGTCACTTTTCGATCATATAATTATAGTGAAAGCATGTTTGTAGTTCGCTTTCTTAATTATGTTGTTGTTATCGATGATGATGATGATGATGACGACGACGATAATGATCCGATTAAAATGACCATTTCCAGAAGGAAGGAATGTCCGAGTTTTCCATACAAGGTAGAGTGTAAAATTTTTTTATTCTAGTGGAAGAAATTTAAAAAGTTCCTTACGAACGATAATCACCAAAAATCAAAGAAAATCGAATAATAAAAACTACTACTACTACTACTACTACTACTACCACTACTACTACTACTACTACTACTACTACTACTACTACTACTACTAATAATAATAATAATAATAATAATAATAATAACAATGATAATGATATTTTTAAAACTAATATCTGTATTTGCAAACAGTAAACTTTAAAAATTATAAAAATGTTTCATTTACGGGAATTTTGTATCTAATTTTATCATTGCAAATTCAACCACGTTTTGATACGAACAATTGTAGAAACGTCTGTCTATCCAAGACGTATACCAGATTCTCTGATTGCCATTCCTGACAGGTAAGTTCTTAATGGTCATTTTAATTACTTTTAGTCTATCGTCATTAATAAAATTACCCTTCATTCCTCCTTTTCGTATGAACACCAAAACAAAAGCCGCATATATACTTCTTTATCTCGTTCCATGTTTTTGAGAGTTTGATTAGTCATGAATAGTTTCATCCAAAACGTTTTCTTATTTCCCGATAATCCGATTCTCGCACGTTTACCCCATCTGCTTTCTGTGTTTAGTACGCAGTTTAGTAGGCGAATTAGTGCAGGGTCTTGTTTTTTCATCAGTTTTTAAACACCTGTAGAAAAGCTTATTTGTCCTTCGTGCTCTAATTTAACATGTGGGAATTTCTTCACTAATCACTTTGATGTCTCAATTAAAGATGACCGATCTCCGGCATGAAATATCCGGCTGTCAGCGACGGATCTCCGCCACAACTATGCACATTTGGATATGTTCTGTAAAGATCGTGGCAGCAGCAACATCAAAAGATCCACAAAAGAGATTTAGCTCTTTTAAAACCTGAAGAGCATCATGGTAAGATAATAATGACGAAAAAGTTTTTGCATACTTTTGTACAAAAGGAAATGGCGGGAAATCTATGTTAGCCTGTCATGTTCGCATAAGAATGAGGACAAAAGATTAAGTGGCCATAAATGAGATTGACGAGAAATAGAGGGAAAAAAATACAATGAGAATAAATACTGCGTTGAATCTATAGCAGTTTATAATTTGTTTATGCTTGTTTTTTTTTGCAAGAATTTTGATAACAAATCTTTCCATTTATTCCATTCCAATAACCACAACGTAGAAACGTATACCAATATTATACACGTATACGCATATTAAAAAATGAACATTGACAGCATATTTGTTTTTCTTTCTATCTTGAAAATAGAAGTTAATGATATTCTTATGTGAATGATTTTTTTTTTTAAATTTGAAGCTTGCAAACATAACTGAGAAATAGTACATCCAAAGTTACTTGCATGTTGTATTTTTTAACAAGTTTGGTAAATCTGAGAACAAAATGAGCACGAGTACGAGATCTCATTATTTACATAACACTTAGCACATTAGAGTAATCTGACATTGCTTTACCAAAATGTAGTACCGAAGTGAATTACTTCTTTTTCTACGTCAATTTATGAAGATGAAAATTAATGTTTTTACAATATACAGCAAGTTCTCTCTGTCACCTTAACTTCCATCACACTACGGATTATTTTCTAGATAATATAACACGATAACGAGGTAATTTGAATACAGTGTGTAAGGTAATTTGAATATAACATGAATGCAATGTGTGAGGTAATTTGATACTACAATGTAAACATTAATGTACAAAATCTATTGTCAATACAAAATTGTAACATTAAGGGAACAATATAAAACAAACAAGTTTTAATTCCTGTAGAAAACAAAATATTAAGTTATGAAAAATGTTTTTATTTTTATATAGTGCTGGTTTTTTGTGTGACGAGATCTGTTTTATTAATGGGAATAATTCTACTGTTACATTAGCGTGGCGTGTAAACGAAACGTAACTGGGCTATTTAAAAATGGATGCCATAGTTTTCATTTGACGTGTATTTTAAATTAAATAAATTACATTTGATTTCTAATAATTGATGTCAAACATTTAGCAAGAAAATAAATAGTAATATCAATCGTCATTTGGCATATTTTACTTTCTTAGGTGTTAGGGTTAATTGTTTTCCTATTGTCTCTAAATCCATTAAAATATATATATATATATATATATATATATATATATATATATATATATATATATATATATATATATATATATATATATATATATATATATATATATATATATATATATATATATATATCATGCATTTCAACTTATATTCCTGTATAATGCTTATTCACTATGTGTAATTGGCTATCTTAGATTTTTTAAATATACCATTTTTCTGGTGCAGTCTGTTATTCTTTCTTGTTATTGTGTTATATAACTCTTACGTTAAAACAGATTTACGATGCAACGTGGTACGTTTGCAATCAGATACATATTGGATATAGGCATTCTATCTATCTATCTATCTATCTATCTATCTATCTATCTATCTATCTATCTATCTATCTATCTATCTATCTATCTATCTAAGTTGATGTTGTTGTTGTTGTTGTTGTTGTTGGGCTTAACGCCATTTTTCAGCACACGATAGGCTATTCATGGCGGCCAGTATTAATGGTGTAGGAAGAAACCGGGAAATCACCGGAAAGAACCACCGACCCACGAGAAGCTACAATCTAAGTTGACAAATTGTACATACATATATTTTTGCTGTATAATGCCTTAAATAGCAAAACACGGTATATCATATTTTGTTTGAATCAAGAATCGTAGAGAATGCATGTATGTATGTATGTATGTATGTATGTATGTATGTATGTATGTATGTATGTATGTATGTATGTATGTATGTATGTATGTATGTATGTATGTATGTATGTATGTATGTATGTATGTATGTATGTATGTATGTATGTATGTATGTATGTATGTATGTATGTATGTATGTATGTCGAATTCTTTCACTATAAAAACACGCGCGGTAAAACAACAGTACATCAAAGCCAATCATCATCTATTTAGTGATTTTAACAGGAGGGCATGACATTTTTAAACTGAAAGATGTCCAGCATTGCATAGAATTGTTTCTTAAATATTTATTAAAGATATTCAGCTTTGAAAGAAGAAGAAATTCAACACAGTAAGATACTGAGACATAAGTGAGTAGATAAACATTTGTCAAATTTCAGCGAGGACACAAAATTGGTTCTGACGAATGCACCATGAAAGTTTCAGAAAACGGAGTCGAAAGTCGAAAGTCGAAAGTTGAAAAAAAAGATATATTCTAGAAAAGAACATTTAGTAAGGAATGGTTAAATATGGTGGTGGGGTGGGGTAACATGAGGATCAGCAGAACGTAGGTCAGAAGTGCAATTTGGCATGCTTGTGATCAACAGTTAAGCGCAGAAGAAAGGTTAGTATTGTACAACGACTGACATCTCACTATGTGCATCAACAGTATTACACAACAAAACACTTCTTTGTATGTAGATGAAAGAGTAACGTAGAGAACGTAAACCCTTTTATGGCTGACGTTGTAGGCAGGCTGCAATAGATCCACTGCGGTTTCTCACAGCATGACTACGCGTAAATTATATCACTAGACGGATGATGTATGGCTCTTCTATATCATCATGTCCTGATGTATTAACCTAATGCTTTGGGATGCTTTGGCTCTATCTCTTCCTCACTTCCGGCATATTTGATTCGTTTCATCAATGAATGTTTCCAAATCCATAAAGATATAACAACATTATGGCTGAAAACATTTACTCTTGCAAACTGTCTCAGATTATGTGGGAACGGGTTTAGAAATGCACGTGTGCCTTTAGTGCAGTGTACCTTGATTTTGACGATAGAGGTGAGAGGAATACTATACGTTTGTTGATTTCTTTTGACTGCAACAATTCTTGCTATTTATAGGACTTGACATTGTAGACAATTTTTGTGCCAAAGTAGACATGAGAAACAAGGACTTTATAGAATCCATACAACTTTTATTGGAAGAAAATTCCCAGAAAACGTCTATTAAAGTAATTATGAAAATGTCGTGTCTATTCCCAGTAAAACAAATATTGCCTTTTGCGATCGAAACATTTAGCTGGTTTTTATTTTTTATTACTTCTAAATGCACAACTTGTGTGAAGTGCATTATTCTGTTAAGTTTAAACTCAGATGTCTTCGTGCAGGAATCGGATAAGAAAATTCCAACGCCACATAAATCGTTGCCAAAAGTAAAACATTCTACCGATCTTTAGATAAAAAGCGTGATGCTCTTTATATGAAAGACTGAACAGTCATTTTCAGTCAATCCCACCTTTCCTTTCAAAGTAACTAATTATTAAGGATTGTGGCAGTATATGGTGATATTTTAAATTAAGGAATATGGAACAGAAGAGTACACCATGGTTACAGAGATAGACCAAATTGATACTCATTTGGGCAATTACATTATCAAAGCATCTTCGCTAGCCAAGGGTCCAATGTTAACTTTGACTACACCTTGGCGGATTG